TATTGTGAATCTATGATTGTATGTATTTATAAATATACAGTATATACAGTATGTATGTGTTTGATATGATGTTAGTATCACTTGTTATACACGCAATGAGATAGAGATGTAATTTGAGAGATGAGAGCTGTTTACTAAATTTAAGGCTAAAATAATATTTTTAATGAATAGCTACGAGATATACATAAGTTGTGGGGCTGTCATACAAACAGCAGTTTATAACATATACCAGAGTATCACTTGATGGAAGTCACTCTCACTTGTGATAAATTACTACTAATCTCTGTCTCCTAATTGTATGAGTATATCATATACAATATATGTGAGAGAGGCTGCAAAATCAATGGTAAGACATTTATAAGTTATAATACAAAGATTTTGTGTTTGAGTTCACTTATATATGAACTCAAACACAAAATCTTTGTGTTATAACTTATAAATGTCTTACCATTGATTTTGAAGCCTCTCTCTCATATATATAGTACTGTATATGATATACTCTTTCACTCATTTAATTAATATAATTTTTATTGTTATTCTATTATTTATCTTTATAATAAAAAATAGAAAATATATAGTTGATAAAATAATAAAACATTTATAAACACATAAATAATAACATTAATTATAATAAAAGTTTCAAAATTTATTATAAAATAATAAAAATAACTTTATATTATGGATATAATGTTTGATGCATTGAAAGGTGCAAACACTGTATGTTTGGCGGAGCTGTCAGTGGAAAGGAAAGGCATCAAACATACAGTACAATACTGCTGTACAGTATATTATATAATGTATTAGCAGACAGTCTAATAAAATGTTGAATATTTTAGTTATACTCGATTTACTCTATTCTTTAAATCATTTATAATAATACATATTATATATTATCATACATATGGTGTGAATAAAATATAAATAATATATAAAAATATATATTGGTTTCAAACGAAACACATCCGCTGATGTCTAAAGCGATTCATTCATAGTAACAGAAAAATTGAGAGAAATTTCTTTTTTTAGTTTGTCTCCAGAAATAAGTGAATATAAAACTCATATAAATTGCAAAATAAAAAAAAATACATCACTTTATGAAAGATTGCATATTTTGATGTATTTCTCTTTTACACTAATGTATAGTTTTTTACCATCAAATCAAATAAAAAGCGAAATGCAAAATGCTTTTCATTGATAATAATCACTAATATGGACTAAAATTTATTTTTTATCTATTTTTCTTTATATTAAATTTATAAATACATATAGTATGGTTACCATACTATGGTTGATGCAAAAGAAAATATCATTATTTAAATGATTAGTATTTTTGCAAAATATTTTTAATATTCAGTATTTATATAAATCTAATTTATAGTGTAGTGTATAATACAGTGTATATTATTAGCTGATGTATGGCTCATGTAATTTAATATCAGTGATCACAACAAACTCATAACAACTTGTCGTTAAGTCTCAGTGTTAGCACTCTATTACTTATTGTAAATACAAATATAATCAATTAATTATAATAAGGCAATGGTTGTTGATTTTTTGCCGTTAATTTTTTTGATGTAATCCATAAACAGTGTAAACCATTGATATTATTTAATATAGTGTTGACTGTTATAATAGGCATCACTACAGCATTGAAACAGATGTAAGTCTTGTTTGTCACTGATTAATGGATATATTTATGTACAGTATATACTGTATGTTGTATTAATAAAGACTCAAATAAATAAAAAATTTCTAATAGTTATATATTATATCAATAGTATAGTATAAACTAATATAAGTTTATATACTGTATATCATTTCATACGTAATCTTAAGAAACAGTCGGTGCACTCAATGATGAATTAGTTTGAAAAAGAGGACTAAATTTGAACGCATCTGATTCATGAGCACTAGTATTATATAATAGTCTTCAAAATTATCTTAGAAATTGCTTTAATAATAATTTTAGATAAAATTATTAAATTATAATATACAGTAGTATAAACTACAGGCACTATAATAATTGCTATTATACCGATAGATAAATATAATATATTTAAATATAAGGTGTTTATATTATTAATATTATAACTGATATTGAATTTGTCGACTAAAATTTTAAATATAGTCAAATACAATACATTGTTTGCATTGTATGAATAAACTAATGTCATTTTTATTTATTAGCAATATTTTGTTTGTGATATGTAATGCAATATAATAAGCACATAATAATTTGATAGATGTATTACAGCAAACAAGTAATTTATTAAATCTGATATTTTTTTATTTTATTCTATTATTTTTGTATTATGTTTAAAACAAAAGCAGTTAAAACAAATGGCATTTATTATTTAATACATTATATAAATATAATTTACTGTATTATATAAACCAATTTTAATTTTGAAACGGAAATTATGACCCATCACTCTTAAGTAAAGTCCTACTCTTTCCCGTTCATCAAATAAAAGATATTATATTTAGTCTATACTTACAACATATACAATACATATATAGCACGTATGTATAAAAACAATATATGGTATAAAAAATTAATTACTTGTCATAACTCAAATTTCTGCCTTAAATTATTTAAACTTTTTAAAAGTGTTGTAAATTCACATTAAGTGTTGTCCAAAACATTCATACCCTATCCATCCCCACAAAAGGCAATAGGAATTAAACATTGAATTTGTAAATTGAAAAGAAAAATATTGAAAGGGATTAAGCAATGAGAAAAGCGAGAGAGAGAGAGAGATAGATATATATATATATATATATATATATATATATATATATATATATATATATATATAGAGAGAGAGAGAGAGAGAGAGCAGTCATAGACATCGCACCGGCAAATCCAGCAAAGAGTTTGTATAAACTAGAAGTGGCATTAAGTCAAATCAATGGTAGGATTAAAATATGAAAAAGAAGTTTTCGTTAATTATATGCTTTGATAATAACAATAGTGGTGTAAACGCGTGCCCGAAGAGAGCACCCGATGTGTGGATGCATTAAAAAGAGCTATTCTTCTCAATACTCAAACATTGCTTCAATCAAATGGTTAAACATTTTTTCAAGCATTCATACAAACAAAGTCACGCTTTGGACTTTTCAATCGGGATTTAATTAATCTGATGGTAAACGTGTCATTCAATTGGTAAATCATAAGCCACCAAATATATGGCTAATCAACAAACATATTGGGATTAGTGAGACAATAGTAAACCCGATATGCCAATAAATACAGTATACCATTGCTCCAGTACAGTATGTATGCCAGTGCTCAACATATAAAACACCAACGCATCAGACCACCCGTAAATTCAATAATAATTGTGCACTAATACCGATGACCAAACACGTGGCCGTCGGAGAGTACAGTCAAGTGATGTTTAGTTATTGAATTAAATAAAAATAAAATGAGATTAAAGTTTTCAAATAAATAAGATTTTTGACGACACGCTGTTGTTCTGTGAAAATCAATTGTCAAAAATAGTCCGCAAATATCTGTGTCTAAAATCATTACAATAATGTTAACCAAACAACTGATAGTTTCATTGATCCACTCGTTAACAATGAAAACATTTTTAATTGATTTTTCCACTACTCATTCATAAGTTAAAGTGATTGCATCTATTGTTACCAAAAGATTAACACATATTATCAACTATTATATGACAAATATTAATTAAATTGTTTTCAATTTTTGTTAAAAGTTGCTAATTAAAAATATTTTTGTTTAAATTAAATGTCAAACATACATATGTTAAAAACATTATACAATACATTACAATGTACATAGTATTTAATATTTAATTTATAAATTTTAAGTATCAATAATTATATTTTATATTTGTCTATTTTTTTATTTTTTATAATAAATATTACATTTAGTACTATAAATGATTACTGTAATTAAGTTAGTCATAGAAAATGTTGAATGAATGAGTAAATGATGATAATTATTATTAATATATTTATTTTTCTTAAAATTACAACTAAACGTTTAGTTTTCATTGATTATACTCTAATTGGCAAAAGGGTTGGGTTTTTGCTGAGGGATCTATCGATCATTAGATTGTATGAGCCGTGAGAATACATTATAGTGTAAAGTAATAGTAGCCAAAAATGTGACAATTTATCACTAGTTGTGTAGTAAACTAAACTAATAGCAAAATACATTGACAATACATATACACATTCAATCAATAGTATAACCAATTGTCTGGTCTCAGGGCTATATCGCTAATGAATTTTGTGATCATCAATGTGTTTGTTGGCGTAAATGTCTATACGATATACAAGAGGTTTCATTGAATAACTTAATTTTCAATCACAACCAAACCCAATGGCTAATACATATAGCCCTCCTCTGCTCAGACCTATTGATAGGGTTGTGTGAGCACCCGTGGGATACCCGGTTAACAAGTGTTTTTTAAAAGTTTCAAGGGAATTTTATTATATGTTAAACTAAAAGTCTAAAGTTATTACTGTATCAAAGTTTATATCAAATTGTTAGACCTAAGGGGTTGGCTATCGACTGTCGATTTACTGTTGATGGGTTTGGGAGAGTATGGGGACATAGAACTCAACCATTAATTCCCCACTTTTTAGAGGCACCCGATGTGTAGTGAAAAGCCATTGCCGATAAGTGCTGCCCTATTATCATATTAGCCAATAGTATATGAATCCATTAGTGAGCGCCGACTCAATGACTACCGGTATCACTGACTCTCCAGTTCCACATAATATGGATTGCAATTCACTAAAGTTGTGACAAATTTCCAAAATTCTCTCACTTTGTCGGTCGGAATCACTGAAATTCATTCACCAATTTGTGGGCCAAAAGCAAAAAGTTTTGTGTTATATATTTATCTATAGATATATTGTTTTATGACTTAAGTGGTGGGCATAAGATTGTTGTTTAAATTAAAGTTTTCTACAATTTAATTGAGTTTTATTTAAATTAATTAGTGATTAATTATCAAGAGATGGCAATAATAATGTCATCTGATTCTGAAGAGATATCACCGCAAACATCTCCATTAGTTGTCGATTATAGCGACGATTCGGCACCAAATTCGCCGATGCCTTTAAATGTGTCGCCCATTCATAGCAATAATAGTTACATACATAAGGACAGTAAGAAAGTGTCGGCATTTAGTGCATCGACACTAAAATCAAGTTTTGTTACGACAAACTGTGACATCAATGATAAGGATATCATAAGTAAGCCGTCGATTCCCTTCTCAATCACCAGAATCCTCAATAAAGAAGACAACAACACCAACACAAACAATAGTTCATCGAAATTATCATCAAAACAGGACTCAAACAACCCATCAATCGGTGAATTTCTCATTTTTTATTATAAGTTATCAAAATATGTCTTTTAAATAATACTTTTAAAAGATTTATTGAGATTCATATGTGATATACAATTATTACTATGTATGCCGTTTACCACTATATTAATAAATATTTGTTTAATTTAGGAACACTTTTAAGATGTGGTTCCCAACAGCAACCTATAGTTTCTACGGCATCGATAGTGCCATCAATTTTTGGAGCCGCCAGTCATCTAAGTCCAGATCATCCATTAGCTCGAAAGCAGACACCTTGGTTTCCATGGGCTGTAGCATCAGGTGTGGTCAGTGGAAATCCTACACATCAGGCATCGAGTTTTGCACATCAATACATTTGTCGAGATTTTAAAGATTCAGGTAATAAAGTAATTCATTTAATTTTTAATATAAACTTAAATAAACATTAAAAATATGATGTATATGAATGTTAGTGATAAGTACCAAATTGATCCATTAGGGCTCAATTACTCTCCTACTAATCCTTTACTAAATTAATTTTCTTTCACAATTATTTACTATATATTAGTCAATAAATGATTTCACATAAACATATATATATATATATATATACCGTATATACACTCATACACACAAACATACTGTACATACAATTATAGTAAGTGTTCTCTCGGTTTCTCTTGAGATCTAAATATGGTCTAAATCTTCAAGAAATGAGTTAATCTTTAATAGCTTTCTAATTGAGGCTTAAGTTAATATTAGCGCAAATAGATATTAACCAAATTTATTAAATTATTACCGTATATCCATATACTCCTGTATATACTGTATAATATAATATATTTATCATGAGTTAAACCCAAGTGAATGAAACCCATTAATGATTGCTTTAATATATTTGCAAACTTCAGTATAAAAGCCTTTTATTTAACCGACACTTTTAGCTCAAGAGTTTAGCACATGAATAAACACTTAATTTATATAAATTGTTATTATAATTGTTATTATTATTATTATTATGGAAAATATAAACACATTTACGTTACTTATATAGTAGTCTTCCTAATCAAATTTCCTCAACAAATCTATTCACTCGACTGTTGTATCAAAATATCACTGCAATTAAAACAAATACTTGTTTAGAAACATAGGTTTAACACTTACAAACAAACATAATTTATTTGTTTATTTCATAGCATAATTTATTTTAATTTTATTGTTACGTTTATAATATTGTATAAGCTGTATTGTATAATACTGTATTATTTAATAATATATAAAATGTACGTAAAATGCATATCAATGAGAGATTAGTGTATTATTTGTAATCTCGATATATTATTACCCAATGAATTGAATGACTTTGTTTGTTATCCATCAAATGTTTTCAATAATAATAATAATAACAATTTTATTATATAAGTGAACGATAACTTTCTCCATAAGCTGTCAATTTAGTTGATATAGCCGTTAGTGCCGTTAGTTTTTTTTTCTATACAAACAATTGATATGTAGATACATATGAAATCATGTCTTAAGCGATGTATATTTGTTATAACATGAAGAAAAAACTAAAATAAATAAAAAAAGTTAATTATTTGGGTATTTATCGAGTTATGACAAACATTGGTGCCTTAAATTATAAAATAATTTTGAATTAATTAAACTAACTTTTATTTATGTTTTTTTTATTTCWCTTATTTTGTTAAATTTGTGTGAAATTTAATGATCTGTTTTGTGTATTTTGCTATAATTTTTATTAAATTATTTAAGTATACTATTATAGAGCATTTAATTGAAGGACAAGTAGTTTCACTCTCCCTATCATTTGAGTTGATCTCTCAGTTTAGTATATTTTTTTCAGTAAATGATTTGATGATATAATCCAATAAATAGTCAATTATGATAAATGTTTTCATTGCGTTTTTTACGACAATCATTACTATTGTGTTTCACTTTCAATGTTTGCGTTGTTTTATTATCGGTTGTTATAATATTTTGTTTGCATTGTTTTATTGGCAAACCCTAACAATATAACAAACTCGTGAGTGAGGCAAATGAGTCCCAACAATAAATTAGTCGCTCATAAAATGCTAAATAAATTGTATTTCATTCACTTTGCAAATATTTATCCGTATTATTGTCTTCTACTGTATAGTACAGTATATACACAAAAATAGGCAATCATTTGATAAACAGTAATACAATTATTAAAAATCAATTATAATAAAATGAATGGTTTATATTTATTACATAAACAATAATAAAAAAAAATATATTTAATTTGTTTTATGTATTTATTATTGATCACAGAGTCAGGAGAGCCTCCGAGGATTGCAGTCAAATGTGCTCTCCGTAAGCATAAAAGCAATCGTAAGCCCCGCACACCCTTCACAACACAACAACTGTTAGCATTGGAGCGCAAGTTTCGCACAAAACAATACCTGTCTATCGCTGAGAGGGCAGAGTTCTCCAGTAGTTTGAATCTCACAGAAACTCAGGTAATAATTGTACCGAAAGTATAAACAATACAACTTTGTTAACATAACTAACTCGTAAACCATCAATACATTTGCAATTTCATAGTAATAGGTATCAAAAATACTGGCACTATATATAACAGCTTTACATTATATTTGACATATTTTCTATTAATTGAATGCATGTATTGAGTTAATTAATTGAATTTGTTTTTATTTAATTTCTATTAATTTATTATAAAGTGATAAATTTAATTTATATTTAATTTCTTTAAAACTCTAATTTTAGGTTAAAATTTGGTTTCAAAATAGAAGAGCAAAAGAAAAGGTAAAAAACTATTTTAAACTTGAAATATAATTAATTTTACAAATTTTATTTATTTATTGTAAAATGCTTTCATATAAATTGTTTATTTATTGTTAAAATGATTGTAGAGACTGAAAGAGGCCGAACTAGAGAAGCTGCGTCTGGCGTCCCGACCCTTTCCAGTGGCCGCCTTTGGCTTTGGTCTTCATGGAAGTGCATCGTTTGGTTTTAACGCTAATATGACCAGTTCGGGGCCGCCACCCGCTCATTTGGGTCAAGCACTGGTAGCCGCCGCAGCAGCCAATCGTGGACCTAATCTATTCAATCACATCGCCAATATTGCCACTCCATATCCTATATACTCATCAGGACCGGCCTCATCAACAGTCGGCCATTTAATGAATACTTCAGTGTCTAATATACAGCCACCGACTCCTTAACTTTGAATGGTATTGTCATAAAACATAAATTATATTATCGATTAAAATAAAGGTAAAGACAGATGTATTAACTTTTATCAACTATTTGTAGAAAAGATTGTTTAAAGAGGAAAGGCATGTGAAATATGAGACAAATATATGTATTTTTTAAGTTCCTTTGAGTTTATATTACTAATTATTTTTGTAATTATCCCATAAATGAGTTCAAAAAAATACTTTACAAATCATCACACAAACAATTTATAACAATTTTGAATATACTGTAAATATTATTGACTAAATTATATGATAAAATAACGTAAAATCAATTTACTATTTGTAATGTTTAATAATAATATATTACTAGTAAAGGCCTGTGTTATTGTATTATAAACATTGTAGTTATTAATTATATACATAATATTTATTAATAATAAAATAATAATGTAAATTAATAATTTAATTATTGATGAGCTAAATGTTTGACAGATATAAACACATTTAATGCCAAAAAATATCATTTGATTTCTTATTAAAACATTGAGAGAAAAGTTCAACAATTGCTCTAATCTATTGTTAGTTTTGTAAAAAAAAATCATTTAATAATTCACAAAATCCCTGACATTATATACATAAAACATGCAAATATATAAAAAATACTTTGTAAATGCTATCATTTCATCTTAAAATTAAATAATAAAAATAAAGCGAGAAAATTGAATTAATAAAAATAAATATCAATTTTTATTACAATTATTGCCATAAAAATAAATGTGTTCTCTCAGTGTGTGTGAAAATAGTTTTTCAAATGCTAATCAATTTACTAAATGTTTAAAAACAGTTAAGTGAATTGTAATATAATTAACAAGTTTGCACATATACTTTAATACTAGAACTGGTAGTTATGCATTTGATATTTCATTTATGGAGACCGGCAAAATATATGTCTATGTTTACTCAAGAGATTATAATATTTATAAGTAAATTAAAGAAAAGATAACACACAAAAATTTTAAGCGCAATTAAAGCACAAAATACCTGTATATAAAAATCACATGTAAATCAAAAATAATATATAATAGATCAAAATTATTATTTTATTTTTTCAAAAAATAGCAGCAAAAATATGATTTTAGCTGTTTATTTTGTTATACTTAATCATTTAATAACGCACATGAGTAGTTGTTTATTTTGTCATACTGAATCATTTGATCACTCACATGACTAAAGTTTGGTTTATTTTGTTATACCGAGTCATTTGATACCCTACATGACTAAAGTTGAGTATATTTTGTCATACTGAATCATTTGACCGCAATAGTCGACATCACATTTGAATGGAATATGTTTATTGATATCTTTGAAATGTACTAAATTTTATGGTTACTTAATTTTGATGATAATGAAAATGTTTGATTACAATTATTAATATCACATTTATATGGCTTATGTAATGTATGAGTTGTTTTATGATAATCAAAATGTTGTCTACTATTAGTTGTAAACAGACATTTAGGCCAAAAACACTTAAATCGCATGTTATTGTTATCCACACGTGTGTTGTTGTTGTTGTCATAACAGTCACTATAATCAGTAATTTTCATAGAAATGCAATCATTTGTTATTTTGATATTCATTGCATTCAAGGCATCCATAGCTTCAAACAATTTTCATTTGTAATTTTAATAAAAAAAATGATTTTATTTTTTGTGTGTAATTTCTATTTTTATTAAAATGCAACGTTATTGTTGCCGACTTTCTGCAACCATTAGGCGTCTGCCGGTCTCCATTCATTTATTAAAATCAATTATAATATAAATACATGACTCTGTTAGTACTATGTATGCAGACCCTGCTAGTAGTGGTGACACTGGTGATGGTGCCGGTGCTAGTGGTAAGTGTGTATGTCTCGCGTCAATGAATTCCTTGAGGTACAATCAATGGTTATGATAATAAAATTGAAACAAACAATACTGTAGTGTAAATACAGTATCAAATTGATATTTTACTATATATTCTCATATATAATATATAAATTAATATATGTATATATTTATATCACACTTGTACTACACTATACATCAATATTACTCTCTCTCTCTCTCTCTCTCTCTCTCTCTCTCTCTCTCTCTCTCTCTCTCTCTCTCTCTCTCTCTCTCCATCCCTCTAACATAAGCTTCAATATATAATAATACACAATAACTATAAAAATAATATAATATAATAATATATTTTATTATAAACTCAATTCAAATATTGAGAAATATCAGTAAATCTCTCTTTGCTTCTCTCACCCTCACTATATCCCTGTCCTCTCGGGCCAGTCGTGCACAATGACGCGAGTGTTTAGATATACTAACCGTAATGCATACTATAATGTCATTGTGTATACAATGTTTGATTGATTATTGGCATCGTTTAAACAAAGCTTTAATATTACTATTGTGTGTTCACTTATTGTTGACATATAATACAATTTGTAGAGTTGTTAAAAAGGAAATTTCTAGAAAGTTTATGAAATAAATTTTAGTTATGAAATTCTCATCTTAAATTTGTTTTCTTGATATTTGTTATCATGTAATAATCTATAATTATTAATATCAACTAAATATTATTACTCGTATTTTAATTAATTAATATTATAATTTGAAAAATTATTAAATATATATATTATATTTTTAAAAATTAAATTTATTCAAAAACTAAAATTTATATTTATAATAAAAATAATTTATATTAGTTTTACATTATATAATTTAGTATATCAATAATATAGTAGTTTACTGTTTAATATATACCCATAGAAAATAAAATTTTTATAGAAATTTAAATTTAAAATTTAAAAAGAATTTCTATTTGCCATTTCTCTAACTAAATGACATATTTTAATATTTTTTTTCGATTTATTGATTTAAATGACATTTTGTATGTTATATATTATACAATAATAACAATACCAAAAAATGTTAATTAATATAACGCTTAATCAGTCATATAATCATTTAATTACATTTCGATTTTCTAAACTCTAGTCATATATTTTCTAATTATATATTATATGATATTAATGCCGACATAAGCTGTGGCTAATGAAAGTGCTCGACAGTGGCTTTAATATTGTAGATAATGTGATAAAATAGTGATTAATTAAAAGACAAATTGCCACCAATGTATGTCCGATATACTGTATATACAGTATATACACTATAAAACCAAGATATTCACCAATACCTTAAATAAAGTTGTCATATCTTAAAATCTACATAATTATTGAATAATTATTAATTTTATTTTCTATATTAAATTAAATAGTAAACCAAATTAAAATATAGTATAAACAAAAATTAATAAATTAAAGTTTTTAAAACAAAGATAATTTTTAAATTTAATATTAGCTCAAATATATTTATTCAAAAATAATTTATACATTCATATAATAAAAGGCAAATATTAGGTTTAGTAAAAGCAATAAAATGAATATTTATTTGTATTTATAATAATATTAAGTTAATTATTTAAAATTACATAATTTATAAAAAGCAGAAAATACTTAAAACAAACTAAACATATTTAATATTATAATATTAATGATTTTCAGCATCAATAGATAATTTATATAATTAATTAAATAATAAGAGATTTTATATAAAAATTTCATTTTTGCTAACAATTTAGTTGACGTTATCATAATATTGTGCAAAACAAATGTGTTTTTATGTTTTGTCAAATAACAGCCGCCTATTCACTACACATTTAATTGACTTTTATTATAGGGTTGGACTAAAAACACCTATTTTCTTAAACAATTTAATTACAAATACTTTATATATCATATAACTTATGGTAACACTGATCTTACTTTTTATGATATCTTTTATTATTTGATATTCAGAGATGAAATGTTTTGATTTAGTCTTAAGTCAATTGTGAATGACTTTTATATTGTATGCAAACGCGTGTCTCTTTTAATATATATGTTATAACACATCGGACTAAAAGTATTTCAATAATAGAAGCACTCAATGGATACAACAATTTAGGGTTCACTTTGTATATATAAACTAAGTTTATAGCCCTGTATTGCCATAAAACCATTTACTAGAGTTAGCCACTCCTGTGCTACACAATTATTGTCATTTATTCCCTGTATTTTAAGTAAATGTTAGTTAAGTGGTGCCCAAAATTGTTTGATATTTTTATTGCAATTACCATCGCATTTATGTCAATCGCTATTATACTCTATTGTATATACAGTATATGTAAAGCATATATATATATATATAACTCATTTTTGTAGACTAATAGTTATTTTGAATGTATAGTTATCAATATTGTGTCCGCAAATATGAATTGCGGTATCATATCATTTGAGGCTTGTTTTGAGGTAAGGGCTGAGGTTTGACCACAAAATTCTGCAAAACTTAAATATAATATATTTCTCGACCCATTATCTCTTGTGTTGTATCGGTTATGACTGAAAAGCAAGAGAGCCGTCGGCAACATATTTATTAGTGGTTTTGACTTGAAAACCAAAAATTGTTAATATATTATATTTTGGTTATAACTATGCTATTAAAATGTTGTCATATTTGAAAAATGTCATCCAATCTCCTTACATATACTATATTTATTATAGAGTATACATTGTGTTATTATAACTGCAATAACAATAGAAAATACAATTATTTTGAGTGAACAACACTAACATAAATATGACTTATTCTCGCATTTGATGTTTCAAATCAATCCTCTATTGACATCGTTTTTATCTAATATAACTCATATTATCGTTTCATTGACAGCCAAAATGTCATATAAAATGTCAACAAAATTATTGAATTTTAAATATAGTTTTCAATTTTGTTTTGAAAATAATAAAATAAACTATGAATTAAAATTAACATCAAACTTTCAAACTTACAAATCAATAGCAATATACAGTATTTATAATATTACTGTATTTATATATATATTACTTATTGATTTGTATTTTAAAAATGATTGCGGATATTTTATTTTCG